ATATATATGTAGGCCTATATAAAACCCTGCTTATTCTTAGCTTCTGGAAATCAAAGTTCAATCATTATCCTTACTGATGTGTCTGATAGTTTTCCAACCTTCATATTCCACATAGTAACATTATTGGTGTAGGCTTCTTTTGAAATGTAATTTACGATGGTGTTCGGCAAAGCTAATGTTTGCTCTGACCAATACTGCACAAAACCCTATTAAAATACCAATTAAAATATAAAATATGAAGGTTATAGTTTACATTAAAGTTTAATACATTTACAGGCCTATACACTTTCAAAGAACATCTAATGTTCACTTGTGTTATTGTCAATTACCAATAGTCATGAATACTTGACGTAATTTAAAGATAATGAACTAATAAAATCTGACGAGGATTACCTCAGTTTTTGGATCAGTCAGAGATACGATATTACAGCATTCGTAGTCATACACCAATCTCCAGAAATCATCCACCGTGTGTTCCAAAGGTGCTTGTGTGGCGATAAAGGCGTCCCTCTTTAAAGCACTCTAAATAAGTGAATATATTAATTTTTTTATTATACATTATTCAGCTTTAGCCTCAAGGGCATGCCAAAATAGTGAACTAAATCTCTGGTTGTTTGTGGCAATCTCTGTTACCATGACAGGAATTTACAGGGCCCTGGGATTGGAAAAAATATTTCAAAAAGTAAATTTATATTTTGGTGTCTGATGCTAGCTAGTTTTGGGATGGCAAGCCTCATTTATGAGAATGGCAAGCGAAAAATTTACATCATATGAATCAGTGGAAGACAGTTTGGCAGGCCTACATCTTAAGTTCTACAGCGCAGATTCTTAATCTCACACTGACCATTCTCGGTCGACCATGCTTATATACCCCAGCTTTTAATGTTGACAGGCAACGAACTGGCTACATATTTCAACCCTAAGTGTGTCATAGCATTCATAGCACATGTTAACCAGGGAAAGACTGATTGGTGCAGTGGAGACCTACTGTTGAATATCGGTTAGTTGTTGGTGACTTTAATGAGTAGTATGACACAGTTCCTTTTAGTTCACTGCAAACTTTTTATTAACACAAACTGTACATAGTTACAATCAGCTAAACTCCAGGTTTCAGATGTTAGAGAACCCTTTTAGAGTGGAGTCAGCTCGGCTCTGTACTTTTCTTCTGTGTTGAATCTAACTACTGACTACTGAATACTACATGACTACTGATTACTGACCATTGCTGATTACTGGTTACTGGTTACTGGTCACTGACTCAGTGATATGGGGGTGTTTGCCTATTATACTTTAGGTAATGGGGGTGTGTCTGAAGTAAGTCACCCCATACTTTTAGAGTTTCTGATTGGATCATAGAGAAATTCTTTCTCTATGATTTAGTAACTTGTTTACCAAAAAACTACTAATTAAGATGTATCACAAACTGCAGAGCTTAGGCTCAAAACTGACAATCATAGATTCATAGTGTGAGAAAGGCCAAGTCCAACTGACTAGGATAAAGTTATACAAAGTCCAGTTATATTATTAGATTATCTGTATACTCAAGTTGACCATTAAAACTGTCAATCCAATTTAAGGCATTTATCAGGTGAAGGGTATCGATTCCAATGGTTATGCAAGTTAATAACATTGAACCTTAATACTACATTACACTACCTGCACAGTGTAAACATACCTGTACATTTAATTAATGCCTTATGCTTCCTTTAGGCTGTTATATTTATATATTTATTTTCAGCGCTACGATCTTGATGTAGTAGCGCTATATAAATACCATTATGTATATTTGCATAGGCCTATGTAGTGGTTTGGTTAATTAATGTGTTTCTTAATCAAAAAATGTAACCCCTTGTGCTTTGTTTGGGGTTATTGCAAATATTTAAAAAAAATAACATTTTAATGTGTTACAGTGGCAAATCAATGGGTATCAGCCGGAAAATTGAAAAAAAAAATTAGAGAGAAAATTATATTAAAATTATTTATTATATGCGATCATATGATATGAATCATATGAATCAGTGGAAGACAGTTTGGTAGATATATCTTAACAAAATACCAATCATACATTTTAATGTATTACTGTGGCAGATTCAATTGGGACCAGCCGAGAAAATATTATATTTAAATTAATGTGTATATGCCATCATCAAACTAGAGGTGCCATTATAGTAGCCATAAAATTATGTGATGTCATCATGACCATATTTAGGCATGTCACATGTTTTTGTCAAACACAAGTTGATAGTCTGGACGGGTCTTAAGCCCCAATTTTTACATGGTGAGATTGAGGTGGTATAGACCCTTGATTTGTAAAAGTCCTTTCTTGAGCCCCTCTATTTTGAATTCCTGGATTCACTACTCTATTAAATATATGTTGGATGCTTCAAAGATATATAACTTGATTGGCCGAGCGGTTAAGTCAGGGGCACCGTAAACTTCAGCTATCGGCGCTGGTTCGAACGGCTCACTCGCCAATGGTTCCCGTGGTGGAGCAAGTCATCTCTGACAAGGACTTTAAACCGTAGGCCTAGTGTACGCATTTGTCCCGTGTGCACTTTAAAGAACCCAGTACATCCTTCGAGAAGAGTAGGGGTTACCCCGGTGTACTGATCCAATCGGTCCCCTGTTGTTTAAAGGATGATATGCCACCTATGATAGTGATTAAGTTTACTTATTGGCATATCCTTGGCGCTCGTGCATAAAGAAATGAAATTTTAAAAAAAATGAAAAACTTACATCAAAGAATGAAGCGTTAATATAGTCTGACATTCTGTCTCCACCTGCAAGCATCGGTCGGTTTGAAGTCACTGAATAGAATATAATTATTCACAACATAAAGATTGAAAAGAAAAAAAAATAATAACAAATAATATACTTATACAGCTCTACACTAAGAATCAAATTTATTGTAATGTGGAAAACCCAACGCATTCCAGTCCCCATTGTTTCATAATGAATATAGTTTTTAATCTTTATCATTTGCAATATATTATTCTCAGTAGCTCTTTTTAATTGTTAACTATTAAAAGCTTTTTAGAAGAAAAACTACTTATATGTATCATGCATTTTCAATTTTTTTTTTTTAAATTTATGTATGGATAAAATTAAAAAAAAGCTTAGGCCATGAATTGTTATAAATGCAAACTAGGAAAACTAACACAATTATGTTAATCCTATTTGTTTTCCCTCGTTTTTTTTTTTTTTTTTTTTTTTTTTTTGAGAAAATTTTGGGAATTGAACGCAATTATAATTAATTACCTGGGACTTTGTCTTTATATCGATTCTTGGACATGTTTTCCTCTGACATACTAATCCTTTTCTGGTTTGTGGTAAACACGGGTGATAGACTGTCTAAAAGCTAAAAAAAAGTTATAGTATAAAATTTTAGACACATTCATGCAACAAGCTGTGGCACAATTTTGCATTATTTATTATTCTATTATTTGTTAGTATTCAAGTAGCGACTGTTGCTAAGTCAACATTCACTTACGGCATAATAGATAAGTACTGTAAATGTATGTCTGTATTACAAACACTGTAAATAAAGATGATATTTTTATGTATTGATTTGTCACTAATGTACTTTTTGGGAATGTTCCCATTGACTCAGCTATTTTAAATTGTAGTAATTACCAATGCATTGATCAAACTCATTTTAATGCCATTACTAATCTTTATGATTCAATAGTACAGTCTTAGACAATTAGGCTATGATTTATGTCTTAAATCTCAACGATCTGTGCGTATAATGTAATTCCTGGTTGGAATGAAAAGGTGGCAGACATTCATATAACTGCCAGAGAGGCTTTCCTTATTTGGCGGGAAAATGGAAAACTAAGATTCGGCCCAATATATGATTTCATGAAGTCCATACGACCTAGATTTAAACTTTCTCTTCGTATTTGTAAGGTGTAACGAGGATCAGAACAGAGCTGATTCTATGGCGTCTTCTTTTAATAATTAAAACTTCCACACGTTTTGCCAGAACGTTAAAACAAATAAGAAATCAAATCGGATGGTGACGCTTAGGGAGAAATAGATATTAGCAATGTTTGGCGTAATAATTTCAAACAATTATTCAACTGTGTAGATAATTACCCTAAGCATGAGGCATATGTTAATGATTATCTTAATAGCAATTTCAATACTGATAACTACAAGTTACTCCTGATATACTTAGTGATATGTTAATAAATTGTCTTTGGGTAATGCGGGATGATGTGTTGGACTCACATCCTCACGCTTTACCCAATGACAGTTTATTAACATCAGGAGTACATTAATAAACTGCCATTGGGTAAAGCGGGAGGATGTGATTGACTCACGGGTGAGCATTATATGTTTGCTGCGTGTAGGTCACGTTTAATGTTGAGCTTGTGCGTCAATGCTATTCTAAATCATGGATTCCTGCTAATTTTCCAAAGGTCATACTTGTACCTATAGTGTAGGCCTACCTATAGTTAAATCGAAGGTTGGTGATATAACTGTTAAGAATAACTTTAGACGATTTCTCTAGCTAATGTCACCTCTAAACTACTAAAAATGATTATAGCTCATTTTTCAGGCCATAGTCTTAATACTGATGATAGGCAGTTTTCCTTTAAAGCTGGCCACTCCACTGATCTATGCATATTTTTTGCTAAAACAAAATATTGATCTATATTGCGTAATGGCAGTCAAGTACATTGTTGCTTTCTCGGTGTTTCAAAAGCTTTTGATAGAGTAAACTACTGGACCCTGTTTAAAATGCTCAGTGACAGAGGTCTCTGTCGATATTTAAAATTCTACAGTCTTGGTATCAAACCCAACAGTTCGCTGTGCGATGGGGCAGTTGTGTTTCCGATTTCTTTTCTGTTAGTAGGGAGTGGGATGAGTTATGTCTCCGCAATTATATAATATTTATACTGATGATTTAAATATGCAATTGTAAAATTATAAGTTTTGTTATACAAAATTAAATTAATAAATTAAACAATACCAAGATTAATTGTTTAATTTATGCAGATGACATGGTAATAATGTCTCCATCTGTAAATGGCCTTCATTGCCTCTTTAATATGCGAGTCATATACAAAAAAATCACTATAACATGTACAATACCCATAAATTGAAGTGCATGATGTTTTGTCTGCGCGTCCGCAAATTTAATGGTACTACAAATACTTTTTTAATGATACTAATCTTGATTATGTTAATGTTATTAATATATTTATAACATGTTATTAATATATTTATATACGGTATTATATTTCATCAAAATTAATGTTCAATTTTTTAACCTGTATGCTTTTAAATAATGCATAGCATCGTTTGTCATTGTCTTTAAATAGGTAATGAATTAACGTATAGGCCTATACCAACATTTCTCTGTATTTTGAAGACAATGATTGTCCTTGTATTTGTTAGCATGTAAAACTAACCTCAAACTGGTTATTAATGTCAGACTTCCCCGTTTCTGGGTTTTGTGCTTGAAGTCTCTCGAATTGAGCCCTGAACTTCATTGCTGGTATTAATGTGTTGCCGCAGAGAGATTCGTCCAACACCGTCTCGTAGATGAAGATGTACTGTTCCTGAAAGTTTTACATACAACTGTAAGGGACGCGTTCAAGACTAGAAAAGTGCTGCTAACTGATTTATTGTATAAATAAAGTATACTTTCATTTCATTTTATTTGCTCAAAATTTAACAGCAACAGTAGTTGCAAATTACAAAATAAAAAAACAAACAAAAAACAAACATTAAGTTATATAAAATATATTAACAGAGGCATATATAAAACAGAGGAGGTCTCCGAAACAATAAAACAACCACATACAAATATATTTGTAATAATGCACTTAATAATTAAAAATCTAAAATATATAACTATGATGACAATATTTTGAATATTTATACAATAAATTGTAAATTACTAATTCTTTAAAACAATATCAGTGCCCACCTTGAACTGAATTATTGCATTATATATGATCTGTTAACTGAGTTTGAAACCCCTTTTGGAAACATTTGGAAAATTTACAAAGAGAAGTGGTGGATTCAAGGGGGAAAAACTGGTCTGCCCCCATCACCCTACATTTTTCAAAATTATAAAAACAAACTGAGAAAAACGAAATTTATATTCAAATTTAAATTGTCATAATCATAAATGCTGGTTTATACCCTCCATTTGTGAAAATCCCTTCCTGGGCCCCATCTATTTCAAATTCATATATCCACCACTGTAGAGGAGTAGTCATAATAGGCCAATAAAATTCAATAACACATAGTAATTTATTGTCCTAACAGCTCATTTCTACATTTTTTTTTAATTCATTTTTTTTTACTTTATTGCAGACATAATGCCTAGTACAAGTTTACATTTTAGGACTGTATAATCATTGGCTGGCCATTAGCAGACCAAATTTTTATTTTTTTACGATAAACGGTTAAACGGTTGTGACTTACGCTTGTTTGTACCATGTTTGGTCGCCTGCTTCTCATTTCTTTCACAAAGTTGTATATATCAACACAGTGCTCTTCATTGGCCATGTCCAGCATTGCACAAATAGCTATAAATGCCCCAGTTCTACCGGCTCCAGCACTTTAAACGAAGTTACCAAAATTATACTTGCACGGATCATAAAATGTAATTAAAATGTTAATCATCCTCAGTGTAAATAGTGCACCCTCCAATTCAAGACCCCTCAAATACATAAATTTATGGTTTCACCTGTCTGTTTTAACTGTATTTATTTATTTATTTATTTATTGTATATACATAGGCCTTGTTATTTTCCATATTTATGTTTGTTACTTTTCTTGTTATATTGTCAATGTTTTTATATATTTTTGTATATTTAAATGGTTACACCAAAACAGAATTTCCTTATTTTGGACAATAAAATAATCTTGAATCGTGAATCTTGAATCTTTAATTCAAGACCACTTTTTCAAAGAACCAAACAACAATCGTCAATCTTTTAACACAAAGCTAACCCTTTAATTGGAGACCAAACCCTGACACCACCACAAATGTTTAGGTCTCAATGGGGTCTCAAATTTAAGGGCAAACTGTAGGTTGTAAGATTTATAATAGCTAAAACGCATAAATATATCATTAGGGTAAATTTGTTTGTAATACGTGCGACTTTCACGCATATTAATTAGAGGCCATTCCGTTATTATAGGCCTATATCAGCACTCATTCTCATAGCGTGCCCTTAAGTGTACTTTTTATTTTGCTGAAGGGAAGCACTTAGGTTACTACATCCCATCTATTTTGCTACTTAAATCAAGCCTCACTTAAAATATGAAGAAAATAATGTAGTAGACCCTTAGATCTCCAACCACCCACTTTAAAATTAAGGCATTCACAAGGACCTCAGAATGTAATAAACTAAAGGAAGGAGTCAGAAAATTATTCAGCATTCTTTGTAAAGTTAATAATAATTTGCATACTCAACTGAATATATAAATACGCTTGCAGAAATCCAGGATTTACAAAGAATATATAATAATGAGACTAACCTACAGTGTACAAGTATAGGGCCTTCTAAGTGGTGGTACGTCTGTAACGTGTTCATTTCTCTAATGAATTTGGAGACGTCTTGAGTGTTCTGAGGAACATTTTTGTCCGGCCAGGTTTTGTAATGAAGAAGATGAAGGGTTCGTTTTGGGCTGTTTGCCTGAATCACATATAGAAAATATATAACAATATTAAAGGTTACTTTAATATTTCTGCTAATATTATTATGGAAAAAATACTAAAGAACAACAATGCAGAGTTATCAATGCAAAATAGATAGACGAAGTTTAGACATTTAACAGACATAAAAGCAAGAGAGAATTTATAGTTAAAATAATAATAATGAAAGTGCTCAACGCTCGGCAGATGCGTATCAAGGGACCTGGGGGCGAAATCCCTAAGCAATCGTCCCTTATCATCGCCCCTTCCCCGCTGAAAATGTTCAAGGTAAAGAAATCACGATCAAGTAGTTAAAAAACACCCCATAGAACTATCTCCTTTTTTATACACGCACCCGGAACTTAAAATTAGAGACTACCTATCATAAAAATTATAAAGGCCTCAAGTCGTTAAAATTCCTTGAAATTACATTGTGAATGATAACATAACATTGTATTGTGTGACTTTATTATATTTATGACACACGTCAGTAAACAAGAAGGGATCGGTTATTTGCGTTTCGATAGCTGTTTGTATATGAACTGAGCCTACCTTGTATACTTTGAAGGTTTTTATGTCATAACTTGATAGTTCAACAGCATTGGTGAAGGTTACCGCAATTTCACCATATAACGCACTAAATGAGTCTGGCCAGTATTGAACACACTTCCTCTTTAATTGTGAAGAAAGAAATTAATTTTCATAACAAATATCGTGTGTTTTAATATGTTTAAAACAATCATTGATATACAAAATATTAATAAGAAAATTATGTAAAATATGTACGTTTAGGCGCCTGCACACTTTAAAAATGCTCCGTCCGCCGCACTACTAAACTTTATTTTAATAACATTTTTATGTCAATATATTTCGGTGTAATAGGACATCGTCATGACCATATATGGGCTCATCACTCATATTTGTCACATCAAATTTGATAGTGTAAACAGACTTTATAAAGTGCCCAAAAAAGTTTGAACGAGTAGTTATGTTGGCAGTTGTTCATTTTGTATCGGTTTTATCTACAGAAAATTTTGAAAGGGGGTTGTGATAAAAATCAATACTAACTTTGCCAATCTCGACTAGATTCGTCAGCATAATAATCATATGTACGTTCTCCTGCCAGACAAGCTTCCAGAAATCTTCCACCGTTGTTTGATTTGGGCCTTGTGCTGCTATGAATCGCTGTGGATTATTATAACCCTGTAGAAAAAATACAGGTAATTGTTATTTAAGAATTATTTTAAACGATAAACAGAGTAAAAAAAAAACAAACTTACGCATACAATACTTTAGCTTAACATAAATTGCAGACCAATCATTATATACAAAGGCATTTTATAAATAATACAAAACAAAACGACAATTTAATGATAATTATTATTACCATCATTACTATAATAAGTATATAATAATAATAATAATAATAGTAATAATTACATTTGTTTAACTTAAATTATAATAAATATATAATAACAGTAATGCGATAAAATATTATAACAGAAAATAAAATGATAATTAAAAAAAGAAGACGATAAAGAAAAGAATAAAGAATAATATATAATGATAAAATTAAATGTATATTATGTAAATTAAATATAAATTATGAAGATTTCTGTATGGATAATTATTGATCACTGAATATCGAACAACCATTATAATATTATGGTATTTATTTTCTCCGATGTACTTCCTTCAGACTCTATTTTCAGATTTTACTGAATTCAGCATTCAAGTATTCATGCAAACATGGGCACACACAATGTGATGTTTTTTTGCTTAACAATTGAGTCTGAGAGTCTACACAATAGGTATACTGCACTCGCTAATTCAAAGTCAACAACATCCTCGAGTGAGAAAATGACTATTAAGTATAATCTACGTTAAACTTGCCTGTATATAACACGCATTAATATAGTCTGATCCGGGTTTACTACCATTAAGACTGGACTGAAGCACAATACGACTGTGATCATCTGTAAGAGAAACACACTTTATCATTAGGCATATAGCCTATTGCCAATCTTAACGAATCGATGGAACAAACATTAATAATGACACTAACAGAATAATACTATTACTTTTAAAATGAGATACTAAAAATTATTATTATTATTATTATTATTATTATTATTATTATTGATATTAATATTATCATTATTATTATTAATATTATTATTATTATTCTTATTACTATTATTACTATTATTATCATTATTATTATTATTATTATTATTGATATTAATATTATCATTATTATTATTAATATTATTATTATTCTTATTATTACTATTATTGTTATTATTATTCTTATTATTATTATTGTTATTATTATTATTGTTATTATTATTATTAATTATATTATTATTATTATTATTATTATTATTATCCTGTCAGCAGCAGGGCAAACTACTGGACCGATTTTATTAAAACTTGGTCAGTAGGACCAGTGCCACCTCCCATTTATGGGGTGTTCACAACTTGGGGCCAAACTTCACATAGGGTACAACAAACAAAAAAGTGTATAAAATAGGCCTACTTCTCTCACATAACATAGCACAGTCTAAGTCTTGTCCTTTGCACATATGCACTGGCATAAGGTAGAGTTTATGGTGTTCAGGAATTTGGGGTCAAAAGTCATTAAGGGGTAATTTTTATCTTTTTCTGACAAAATAGTGCCAAACGGTTGTGCCGATTTCAACCAAACCTGGTCAGTATAACCAGTGACACCTCCCATACAATGGGTGTTCAACGTTTGGGATAAAAGGTTGCATAGGGGTCATTAGGGTAAACAAATCCATAAAATAAATAAAAGACTTCTTCTGTCACAAATAACATAACACAGTCTTGTCCTGGGCACATATGCATTGACATAAAGTAGGGTCTTTATTGTGTTTAGGGTCAAAGGTCATTAAAGGGTTATTCTTTCGTTCTATCTGTTAACATTCAAAAATGCTACTAATGGCAAACGATTGGACCGACTTCAATCAAATTTGGTCATTAAGAACCAGTGACACCTCCTTCACCCTAGTCTGAGATTAGGGGTCACATGGGGTCATTGGGGTCAGATTTTTTTTCCTGGCATACTTCTTCCCTACCGTTTTTGCACTGGGTTTTTCTGTCCGGCATTCTGGTCACTTCCCAAGCTTGGAACTTTTCGATGCTTTGCCGAAGCACAGACCATATATCAAGTATGTACCTCCTATTTTTTTCCCCTTCATATTTTTTTAGTACTATAAGTAATTTGGTTTTCCGTGTGTTTTTTTTTTCTACTTATACTTTTAATGACTTCTCTTTTTGTTGCAATTTCAGCTTTATTTCTCATAGCAATGAGGAAAACGGACATAATAAGTCTAGTTATTATTATTATTATATTATCAATTTCATTATTTTCACTATTATAGTAGTATCATTACTATTAGGGGCCTAGTAGTATTTGATGTTAAAATCTAATTTGTCTGACTCACAGGGAACTACATTCTTGTAGCGATTCTTCTTCAGGTTACACTTCTGCAGCGCTACAGTTGCTGGGAATCTCAAACCTTCCGGGAAGCTCTACACAGGAAAAAATATTTTAATAATTATATGATCAAGAATACATTTAATAAGAATGCAGATCAAATCAAACGACAGTAATGATAATAAAAAGAATAAATTGGAAGTATAATCTGTTTGAAAGATAACCATTTCATTACAGCGCTAAATATGCATATTTGCAATTATATAAACTTTCAACCAGAGACGGTTTCTGCAGGCCGGGTGGCAAAAGGCAGGGTGGCAAAAAGCCTGGTAGCAAAAGGCCGGGCCAGGTAACAACGGGCCTAGACCCAACAGAGAAACCAAAGTCACACCAACCTAAAGTAGCATTATCCAGAGAACAGGTTTTTGAGTGGTAGTTTTGCGAAGCAGTGAGTTTGCAATTAGGCGAGCTCGTTGCGGCAAGGGACGAAATTGCGAAGAGAATAATTGATGATTGCTTGCAAGAGACTTTTTGTAAGGGGAAAAGTTTGCGAGATTAAGCTTACGAGCGAGGGGTGATTCGGAGGGGTGGGCTCTTGTAAGGGAAGTACTTGTGCTTTTAGAAAGTGATTTTTGTATGTGGAGGTAGGGGTGCTAACACTTTTATCATGTGACATGTGTGAACGCCTTTTATAGTGCAGTGTTCACATAAGACTTAAATAATAAACCTATTTTTTTGTATTTTTTTTTGCTACTTACTAATTTATGAAGGAACAGGAATTACTTACATTCATTAATGAAATTACATACTACAAAACACTTCACATTTCTATTCTAATTATTATTCTAATTTCTAAAATCCATATTATTGATTGGACCTTCAAAGACCTATAGTATATTTTCTTTTATAGTTTATGAATTCAATGTTAGGGTTTTAAAAATAGTAAAAGAACAATGCACAATTTCATTGACCCAGTCATATAATTATGATAAAACCATTACCTTCCATTCTATCCGAAGCTGTCCAGTTTCCTTTCTGGTACGTACATACTCAGATAGGGAGGAAACGGGAATCGGGGGTGATTCAAATGCCTGCATTGGCAATTCATCTTTCTCGACAATCTCTAGCTCCACTTCTTCTTCCTCCACCCTTTCATCAGGCCTATTTATATTACCATGGTCTGAAACAAGTTAAATCATTCAATATTAATTATTTTTGTAAAAACGTAAATTTATACTGGGCAAACAACGCACATAGGTTATTAAAATTGCCATTGAGAGGAGTAAATACGATTTTATTTTCAGATGAAGATTTACAACCACAAGTGTAACTACTAGGGCGGTGAGTCGGTCAACCAAGTAGATGTCAACCCTTGCTTTGGTGGATAGCATTTAGTTATGCCCTTGAACACGTTTGCTTTAGGAATACTATAGAAATACCTAAGCAACTATGTACATTTCCACCTTCTTTATAACCAAATTACGAAAAATCAGGGGTTGCGCCTGTGCAGACTCTCGCCACACCAGCCTACAAACCCCCACCCATCACCAGGAACACCCCACTTACCTACCCCGTCTGGAAGAAAAACACAATTCGTTGGGAAGGGGAATATGTATTTTTCACATATTATTTATATAAGCTTTTCCAAGGGATTCGTCCAATGCAGCACTTGCAAGAGATTTTTGAGCAACACCCGACCACGTCCACCTACGCTCGTCGGGGAGTGTTTCCCCTACCCTTCCTAAGTAGGAGATCGGACCCCTGTCTGACCAATCCTGGCGTCACCCTGCAACAAAATTTCACACCTTTTTCACGATTTGAATATGGCTTTTTTGGAACCACAGGCTTGTTTATTCCAACAGCTGGGAGTTCGATTACGTCGACAACTTTTTTTGGATCATCATTTCTACTCTTCCTGCACAAAATATAATGAAACGGTCTTTTTACAAAATTTCCTTGCTAACAAATTTGTATCAGCACACTCATTATACGCAATTAAAGTAAGTTAATGTGCGAGAAAATTGCAAGAATACACACCTTCGCTTCCTTAACACGATGACAATAACAACTATGATCAGAAGTAGAAATACAGCCATACAAACAACAATAATGATGATAAGTTGCGTGTCACTTTGAGGGCTCTCTGTGGGCTGATTTACTCCTAGTATAAAAGGTAAATATTAGTTCAGTTCCAAAGATTTAAATAGTTTCCTTGGGGCGGTATAGAATAATGGAAAATGGTAAAGGTTTAATTATTTTATTGTAATCTGTGGTTTGACCCAGAACTAATTACAACATAAATAACTTTTGTGGAATCTGTTCCAGAAATATGCACAAAATATCATACTAAAAGTCCGAAAAAAATCCAATCAGGGAAACTTTAATTTTAAAGATATTTAATGAGTTAACATATTCAACGGTTTATTGTGTCATATCGCCCAGCTGCTGCGTTGAAGCGTAGGAAAGGCAGTTGTTGCTAGTAAAAAAAATGTTAAAATAAGATATAGATGCCTGCGCACGAACGCAGTCGAATGATACAAGGCGCGTCGGTACCACAATCATCAACGCGAAGTTTCGCACACTGTTCTCAAACTTGGATAATAAAAAACATCTCTAAACATACAGAAATACACGCAAGACAATCTAAAAATAAATTCCTAACTAACCCTTACCCCACCGTGAACATAGCATCAAGAAACTAAACAGTCACAAAGACAACACCGGAATACTTTCTAAAATTAGCGATCGAAACGTTTAAAACTATAAGATATAAGTGTTATTATTTTAACAATTTATATTTATGTCTTTGTTAATCTAGGCCTATTAATAAACATTTGTCGTATCTGTGGTTGTATCACCAAAATTGAATACAGTGTTATGTGTCGGTACTTTCATCTAAATGCATCATCTATTTATGTCACATTTTTATTATATACTTTTTTATTCCAAATTTTATAATGACAGTTCATATAACATACGATTGAAATTAAAACTAATTTTTGTATATAAAAATTCCCTCTGCTTTTAAAATGTATATTTATCATAAAAAAACTCCGACCAGCGGTGGTCCGAACCGAAGGGTAGATTTCCCCTGTCCACTACTACACTGACTACAACTAAAACATTTGCAAAAACAAGTGTTTAGGTTTGGTTGGTTTTTTTTTTTGCTTTTTTTTTCATTTAGAACATGCATAGCTTTTTAATATCCTTGCAGTATGAACAGAAAAATCACAATTCGTCTGGGAGAAAAACATTATATATATATCTTCTACATATTAGTTAAAAAGCCTTTTAAAATCCCTAAATTGCCATATTTTTCAGGGGATTCGCCCCTGGACCACTTGCAAATGATTTTCAGCGACGCCCGACCTTGATTTGCTGTCGTCGGGGGAACATCCCTTGTCAGGCAAATCCTGGTGCCACCACTGAATATGACCCAGAACAAGATTATTACACAGTTAAATATTTTGTTACTGATTAAATCTAATGTATTTTTCACTTAATGATACTCCCTAGGTGGTTTAGTTAGATCTTAAAAAATGTTCTATGCCTGGCTATGGAAATATTGAATTTTAAATAATACAGTACAAATCAACTAACGAAAATCCAAATTACCATTAAACAACCTATTTAACAAACAAACAAAAAAAAAAAAAAAAAAAAAAAAAAAAAAAAAAAACGAAATAAAGAAAACAAAAAACAAAAACAAAAACAAACAAAAAAAAGCAACCACCACAAACAAAAAACAAACAAACAAACAAAACAAAACTTATGCCCGATATCGGACAGCAGCCGCGTGCGATAATCTTTGTGTTACCAACGTGTCAAGTTTCATTTTAGTATGTTACTAGGCTTATATGAATAATTCAGAAACAAATTCCGCAAAAATGATTTCTAGGTTCATTACAATTTTGTCACACATTGGCTTGACTATTATAAGCAACACCTTTCTCTAATATACACGGGTGTCAAGAAGATAATTAAAAAAAACTGCTATACTTAGTCCCTAAATCAACACGTAAACAGTAATAGAATTTTTTTTAAAAATTAGAATAATATTGATAATATTGATAAAATTGAGCGCCATTAAATCTGTATTATTAAAATTTAAAATCTGTTCATTCAATATATAAATATGATTATATACTTCTGTAAGTGTTTACCATTATTTAACTATGTATAAACAATCAATATATTCGGACCGGAATTGTTTTAATAATGAAGTGTGTGTTTCATCATCACACAAATTTTATACCCCGTAAATTGATTTTCAAAAAATCTTATTATAGATTTATTGTTTTAGTACAAAAGTTTAAGTTTTAATTATTACTCCACAAAACTTCGTATACTGATGATATTTCATTAAAATTAATTCAGTAAACATAATTTTTGTATCCTGTTTAATGTTTGATTCTTGTTGAGACATTCCTTTTTTTAATATGTTTATATATTTTAAGTTACTGCTTATTTGTTAAAAATAATGATGATGAAATCATAACGATGATGATAATAATTAAAATGACGATTATGGCATGATGACAATGATTGTAATAATTACAATAATGATGGACGTAATAACTACTTATAAGTATGACGAAAATTATAACGACAATAATAATAATAATAATAATACTAATAATAACTAGACTTACTATGTCTGTTTGTACAAGAGAACACAGGGCTTTTCCCCATTACATTAATAAGAGTTGAATTTGAAATTGCAACAAAAAGAAAAGTCGTTAAAAGGTATAAAGTTAAAAAAAAACATGGAAAACCAATATAATTTTAATGAAGTCGAAAGAAAATGAAATGAAAAAAAAACTACGAAAACCAAGTTCACCGCGACGTAATTAGTAAGACTTGAATTATGGCTGCAATGGAAACAGCGATCAGTACGGTACTCGTGATTCATAACCATTGCGCGCCATATTATGAGCCGACCTTGCATAGGAAAGTGCATTTTTCAGTTCATAGCGATTCCATGACTGAAAGCAAAAATTGTTCATCATGCATATCACGGTAGTTCTGAGTTTAACCTAGCTGTGGTTTAAGCGCTTTAGAAAACGCATTGCGTTTAAATAATTTATTCAACTGTCAACAAAAAATCTTTAAATGGTCCTCATATCCGCACCATACTGCGGATCGTCACCAAAAATGGATCATTTGTTCATTTCACCATGAAAACCTATTCTGCAAAGTTTCATTTTTATTCATCTATCACTAGTAAACAATTTAAATGACCCTCAAATTTACACCCTAACCTTGATCGTTCCCTACACATAATAATATCTTCCTTGTAACTTGGGTTAAGTTTTCCCGAAAATTTCATTAGGATCAGTTGACCCATTTTTTAAAAAAAATTACACCCTTGACTGAATCGTCACCAGCACATAATAATTTCTTCCTTGTAACTTGGTTAAACTTTTTCCGAATGTTTCATTCAGATCAGTTGATCCGTTTTCAAAATATGTGGTCTGGGACGTTTTCCTTTCAATGGTCCTCAGATCCACATCATACTGCAAATCGTCACAAAAAATTAATCATTATTTTACAAGACCTTTACAAAGTATTATAGAATGTTTCATTTAGACCTATAGGTTTTTTTCAAAGAGATATTTAGGTCTGGGTCCTCAAAAACTGAAAGGACCCTCAAATTTACAACCTTCACTGGATCGTCACTAACACATAAAAATTACATGTTTGGCCATGTGGGCCTTGTATTCAATTTTTGAATAAAGTGTGCTACATGCAAAAATAAAAAAATTCTTCCTCGTAACTTGATTAAACTTTCCCAAAAGTTTCATTCAGATCAACTGATCGGTTTTTAAAATATCCGGTGTAAACTGTTTGACTTCACTTTAATTGGTTTTTACACGCACACTCCCCATATTGACACTAAATATTAGGAGGCACATCCTTGATATATGGCCTATTCTTCGGCAAAGCACGGAAAAATTCTGAGCAGGGGAAGTGCCTAAAGTGACGGCCAATAAAACAAAAACAAAACAAAAAAAATGTGCAAAAAGAAAGGAAAAATAAATGCAAAAAAGGGGGAAAAAGCAGAACAAAAACAATGGTTTTTCCCAGTACTGCTGGGAAAAGCCAATAATAATAATGAAAAATATAACGATAGTGAAAATAATGATTATAATAATTATGACGATGATGATTATATTACGAAAAAATAATCTTAATAAATGATAATGATAATTTATAAGAGAATGCAGTTACCATCATGAATACTACAGGCTTCCCCCGAGTATCCAGTAGGACAGGTACAGTTGTACCTTTCTGGGTTGGTGAACGATGTACAATTGTATCCTGAAGAACACGGGCTACTCATGCAAACTGAAATCCAAAATTGTTGTTTACGATGAATTATTGCATAAACAACATATAATAGGCCTATAATTATAAATGTCATTAAAAATGTATCGTATACTCTTACCATCGAAAGTGCTACAGTTGACTCCTGTGTACAGGTACAGTTGTATGTGTGTATACGGTGTATAAATTTGTACTTTTAGACACGGATTACTTGCACTAACTAAGGTGACAAATGGTTTGATCAATTACAATGAATTATTAAGCAAATCCTATTTCATTTATTATTCCAAAGCTCGTCAATGAATATGATTAACTGAAAATGTATTAAATGCTCATACCATCATAAATGCTACAGTTGCTCCCAGTGTAGCCAGTAGGACATGTACAGGTGTAGCTGTCGGTATACGGTGTACACGTTTGTCCTGTGGGACACGGATTACTCGCACAACCTAAAATAAAAAATTATTTGCTTCACTAATTTATATATTTATTTTAATCCTATTTCATATATTGTTTAAAAACTCGTCATGAAATAAATATTATTAATTGAGAATTTATTAATGTACATACCAATATAAATACTACAATCGCTCCCAGTGTAGCCAGTAGGACATGTACAGGTGTAGCTGTCGGTATCCGGTGTACATATTTGTCCTGTGGGACACGGATTACTCGCACAACCTAAAATATAAAATTATTTCCTTCACTATTTTATATATTTTTAAAAAATCATATTTCATATATTGTTTAAAAACTCGTCAATGAAATAAATATTATTAATTGAGAATTTATTAATGTGCATACCATTATAAATGCTACAGTTGCTCCCAGTGTAGCCAGTAGGACATGTACAGTCGTAGCTGTTAGTATACGGTGTACACATTTGTCCTGTGGGACACGGATTACTCGCACAACCTAGAATGAAAAATTATTTGCTCTACTGTTTTTTAATATTTTTAATCATATTTCATATATTGTTTAAAAACTCGTTAATGAAATAAATATTATTAATTGAGAATTTATTAAATACTCATACCATTATAAATACTACAGTCGCTGCCAGTGTAGCCAGTAGGACATGTACAGGCGTAGTTGTTGGTATACAGTGTACACGTTTGTCCTGTGGGACACGGATTACTCGCACAACCTAAAATGACAAATTATTTGCTATATTATTTTATAATATTTTTTAAAATCATATTTCATATATTGTTTAAAAACTTATCAATGAAATAAATATTAATTGAGAATTTATTAAATGTTCATACCATTATAAATGCTACAGTCGCTGCCAGTGTAGCCAGTAGGACATGTACAGGCGTAGCTGTTGGTATACGGTGTACAAATTTGTCCTGTGGGACACGGATTACTCGCACAACCTAGAATGAAAAATTATTTGCTCTACTGTTTTATAATATTTTTAATCATATTTCATATATTGTTTAAAAACTCGTTAATGAAATAAATATTATTAATTGAGAATTTATTAAATACTCATACCATTATAAATACTACAGTCGCTGCCAGTGTAGCCAGTAGGACATGTACAGGCGTAGCTGTTGGTATACGGTGTACAAATTTGTCCTGTGGGACACGGATTACTCGCACAACCTAGAATGAAAAATTATTTGCTCTACCGTTTTATAATATTTTTTAATCATATTTCATATATTGTTTAAAAACTTGTCAATGAAATAAATATTATTAATTGAGAATTTATTAAATGTTCATAGCATTATAAATGCTACAGTCGCTTCCAGTGTAGCCAGTAGGACATGTACAGGCGTAGCTGTTGATATACGGTGTACACGTTTGTCCTGTTGGACATGGATTACTCGCACAAACAAAGGACAAATTACTTGCTATACTGTTTTACAATTACTTTTTTTTAAATCATATTTCATATAATATTCAAATACTCATCAATGAAATAATTATTATAAAATTTGTCAAATGCTTTTACCATCATAGATGCTACAGTCGTCTCCCGTATAGCCAGCAGGACAGCTACAAATGTAGCTGTTGGTATCCGATGTACACGTGAATCCTGCAGAACACGGATTACTCGCACAATCTAAAATGAAAATGGTTTAATATCACAATAATTTATCTAACAAATTATACTTCATTTATTATTCCAAAACTCAATAATAAATTAATAATAAACATGTAAGAATGTACTAAATACCAATCATATATACTACAGTTGCTACCAGTGTTGCCAGCGGTACAGGTACAGGTAGCTGTTGGTTGATTGTTTACACGTGTATCCCATTAAGCACAGGACGTGATTCACACAAACTAAAATTACACAGTATTTTACCCATTTTCATCATTTATTTAAGAAATGATATTCGTAAGATTTGGTTTACCAATTGAAGAAGGGTGATGCTCTATATTTAAATATTTACAATAACATATTTTTATTTATATTACATTGTTATATATTTACAATCAGTCATATATCTGATATATATATATATATATATATATATATATATATATAAAATGCTAATTAATTATATTTTATGTGTAACAGCTGCTGCATAAGTAGCCAGCCGGTCAGGCAGACATGCCTTTGAGACAAAGGTATTTCAACATTTAAAAAGATTGTTTTGATTTTTCATTCAAAATATTTTTTACTTTCCTTTACACATGTTATATTTAAACAGTAAGGTCTTGCCTATTAATGGTCAGCTTTACATCCGTTGTGATTGTATTAGGATGGATTTCTTGTCTATTCCGATGATGTTTGCGTTTTAATGTTGACTCTATGTGTCCATGTATTCTGTGTGTGTGTGTATGTTTTGTATGTTCGGTATTCAAACTGACAAGCCACCGCTTCTTTTGGTGCCTATGTAAACAATTCGTAATATGTAATTTGTTGTAGATTTTTTCTGAATAAATGTCATTGTCATGCGTCAGGATGGAATGATCGTATTGTCCTATCTGCCGTGTTATCGTTCTGAATGATAAGCACGTTCCCAAATACTCAGTGGCTAAATTTATTATTAATAATAATATTTTGATAATAGGGAGATTACGCAACCTTACAAAAACGATAAAGAGTACGAATACGTCATTATCATCATCATTATCATCTTTCGTGCCTAAAATATTCATCGATATATGCAGTACGAGCTGAATATGCTCCTTGATTCATGCAAAAGGCATGAATAGCCTACATTATAATAATAATGTGCTACTGCAGGGGACAGTTGTCTAAAAATTTTAATTTGATGAATTAACCCAGGGACCCCTGTTCCCTGCTTAACTGAATTTCGTTATTGTTTTCGTAAGCTTGCAAAAACTCCCTAGTGTTAAAGGATTGACAAGTTTTGATACCGTTATTTGTGTTACATGTGTATCTAGTTGGGTTGGTATACCAGGTGCAAGTTGATCCATCAGAACAGGGGGTAGAGTAGCATGCTGTAATACACAATGTGTGGTTATACAAACAAAATTATATACATTGTCATCTCTTAAAATCAATCTGATTAAATGTTATTATTTTCGTTTTTGTTGTCACCATAATAATCCTGTAGGACAGGGGGTACAGTTGCATGCTGTAATACACAATGTGTGGTTATAAGAAGAAATGTACACCATCATCTCTTAAATCACTCTGATTAAATGTTATTATTTTCGTTTTAGTTGTCATCATAATACATAAAG